GTTGGTTCTGTGTAAAATATAAAAATACAAATAATGTGCTTAATCTAAAAAGCATGAGGGATTTAGTTTTACAAGCAAGAATAAAAAAGAATATTCTTGCACGGTTGTGTTATTGGCCTGTAAAGCAGTTACGTGTTTCAGAAATCACATCCAGTTATCACAGATTTCTGGTCATAGGTGGACATGAAATGGGTATATGGCTGAAATAAGATGAATTCTCATTCAAGATCCATGTTCTCCTAGTTAGGATATGACAAAAAAAAATGAAGTAGTTTAAGCCATATGTCATTATAGTATTTCTCCTTTTTTGTCCCTTAATTTTCTTTAGACAATTGTCTTTACCAGTTGAAGCATTTTGATATACTAAGCAAATGACACAAATTTCAAGTAATATAGAATTGGAGCTTTATATTTGAAAATATAATGCCAAATGTAACAGAAACATTGGTGTAGGTCAGTTTGAAGTGTTTATAGGATGAGAGTAACTTAAGAGTCTCACATATTTTAGTCTTGCTAAGCAACATTTAAGAAAACCACAGTATAAGGGGCATTTTAAGAGTCCTATTTTGTCAGTCTCATTTTAGATAAGACTGGATCAACATCCTGAAGTAGGACAAATGAACAAGTCATAATAATTTAAATATCAAACAGATGAATCTGATTTAGGAAAGCTGCATATTCCTAATTTGACAAACTGAAGTTATTGCCATTTCCTTCGTTCTGATTTAGTATTTGATATGTGTACACAAAATATTTCTATTTCCAACACTGCTTTCACAGTATAGAAAATTAAAGGCCAAAAATGTAGTAGGAAGAAAATATTCTGCAATGTTTTTTGTCAGCTTAGCAAAATAGCAAGGGAGGCTTAGCATCTAAGCTACTGATGAGACATCTTGATGACAGACAATGAAACTGCAGCCTAACAAATCAAGCATAGCTGCACTGAGGCACTGGAAGTGCTGTGTTTTCAGTGTCTGGGCCCAGTTTTCCTGGAGTCTGCATGATTCCATGTTATGATTTATCAGCACCAGCCATTCATATTTCTCTTAGACAAATCAAGTGGGATATACATGCTGCCTTTAGATATGGGGGTAGCTTTACATACTCTTTGTGTATAAAAGAGAAAGTTATTGAATATTCAGTATCGGTTTCAGACAAAAACAAAGGGATTATGAAAAAGCTGGGGAAGTCTACCCAGCAGCTGAGCAGGCCTTGATTTCATGGTGCACTAATAGAGGAATTGCTCCAGGGATAAATAAATAGGCTTTAGCCCCGAGAAATGTTATTTTCTTTAATGATAAAAAGAGTAAAAATATCAGCTAAAACTCAGTATTTACTTTGTGTTGCAGGAGGCAAGTTCTCTGAAACTTGTCCTACATCTGTAAAGCTCCCTATGTGCCTGTGATTTTGCAGGAGTAGGAGTGGATCAGTTTGTGTTGCTGGATGAGTAGAGAAATGTTTCAGGGACAGTTCTGCCCATGGACACCTTGATCACAAGGAGATCATAGTTTTCAGGCCTTCAGCTCAACAAGAGCAACAGTCAGCTCCATAGTCACTAGCTTACATTGCACCAGTGTCACATTCCTATTCTGTCTCTGAAAGGCAAATATCTTCTTACAAAACAGCCCTACACCCCCTCTGAGATGCTCAATGACTCCTAGCAACAACCAAGCCCAGTAACAATTCTCAGCAGTTATAATGTAGAACACATAAATGTGCAAGGTCCTGGGCCATTTTGCACTGGCAGTCAGCTTATGTCCCTCTGCAGCCACCAGTACCTCTGAAATACTGCATTTCTACCTGGGTTAGCAGAAGTGAGCTCAGTACCATTCACATACAAATCAGTGGCAGTTCCAGATGTTTCCCAGAAGACATTTATAGCCCTGTGTGGACCATTGAAGTAATTTTTAACCTCTGGGAGAGGCACCCTGGCATAGAGTTCGCAGCAGTACTAACATGCACATATATGGAGGGGCGCAATTTGAAGGCGGTAGGAAACAAAATCTGCTTTCTTCTCTAAGACACAGGGGATCAACTACTTCTGTTAACTCTGTGATTCTTTCCTAAATTGCTATTATTTAGTCTTTGAAAATTATGGGCCTCTGCTGGTACCTGCAGCTGCTAACCAACCCACTGGCTCAAGGGCTTTGAAGTGCAAACGTTGCAGACAGACAAATGCCAGCTGCCTGGAAGCTTCCCACATGGAAGGATTTAGGAGCACTCCTGACTGTCAGGAAGTTTTTATTTCAGTGGGAAGGCCTTTCAAGGAAAAAAATGTATTTCTGTTTCAGCTGTGGAAAAAAAAAGCCAACAGGTGCCGAACTTCTCGCTCCCATCTCTGTCCTCATGCAAGAGAGTTTAAGCATTGAATCATGGACAATTAACACAACCACATAACCTTGGGTGGTAATTTTTTTCTGCTGGATGAAAAATGAACACAATTCTACCTTCCAAGTAATTTTGAGGGCAGGAAAGATTGAAATTTCACTCTGTAGATTTTATTTGTATTTTTAATGTGCATATTAGGGCAAAAAGTTTCTAGGGCAGAGTGGCTTAAAAGCCACTTTAAGTTTCCATCAGAAAGTCACTGCCTGGTAGTGGCAATGTTAGGTGCTCTTCTGCCCTTATTTCTGGGTGGGAAAAGGCTCCTCTTTGAGATCAGTATGTGGGTTGAACACACAGCATCTTACAGCTGGACATCCTGAGCATTGACCCAATGCAGGTTGCTACCTGTCAGGAATTAAAAATACATTTTCCCTGGGTTAGCTCAAAAGATTTTTCCATTCATGAAAATTTAACCCCTCACTGTTTAAATGTAATACTATACAGAGTAACTGTGTACAGTTACAGACCATGTCAGTTAACACTCTTGTTCCTCCCTCTGTTCTTCAGAGCAGACAGAATGATTATTAATTAAAATTTTAAATATCAGCGCAATGCATGCAGTGTAAGAACAAACAAATGACTTCACAGATAAATATGCTGTCATCAGCAGATGCAGCTTTTGCAAGATGACGTCTATGACCAAGGAGATTTCCATCACAGGAACCGTCTTCACAGTACAGTTTCTCCATCTTGTGGAATACATTAAAGAGAATTCAGAAGTCTGAAGGAGGGCTGAATTTAATTATTTTCATATATTTTAGTTGTTGTGTTTCATTTCTGAAAACGGTACCTGGCTCATTTGGCAGAAGAGCTGTGTTTAGTTCTCTGCAAATGAACATTTCCATGCTATGTACACTCCAGTTTGGTGCTGAAGGGGAAGGATATGGTAAGAAAACCAATTCATTACACAGTCATTATGCCTTGCAGTATTTTCCATTGAAGAACCCTCTTCAGTTGGTAGTTTCAGACAGTATTAGATACTGCCATATTTGGAAGATGGGATGTTTAAGCACTGATTATTTTTATGCTTTGAACTGTTATTTGTTTGACAAAGTTGGGGTTTTTTTGGATGGATTCCTCTGAATTCCATCCAGTTTGGCAATGAATGGAATCTGCTTTCACAAATCCTCTGCAAAGTGCAGTTGGAAAGACTTACACCATGCCTTGTCGCTTCACCGATTAAAATAGCATTTACATTTTTCTGAGCGTTTTCTGGTAAGACTGTCTGTGGTAGCTAGTAAAACTGATTTATTAATATTTGTGATCTAAACTCCTCCCTCTGGAAGCTTTTTTCTTTCACCTTCTCCTGTCAGAACTTTACCAAGACTACCAATTTGTCACAATAAAATGACATGGCTAGCAGCTCTTTCTAATTCATCAAAATCCAGTTGCAAGCTTCTGTTTTGATTGGAACAGCAACCAAAAACACACAGCTGATTCAGTAAGTGAAACTTTTAGCCTTTGTGAAATGCTGGAACTCTTGAAATAGTTACATCAACCTAAGTACTCTTAAAAATACAAAAAAAAGTGAAAGATACAGAAATAGCACAAGTCTGTTGGAAATACTTCACCTTGTCTAGGTGTTGGGCATTTGGAAGTTCAATTTTTTGTATCCTAAGAAAAGAATGCTTTAAAGGCTTCTGCTTCTTTGAGTGGAAGGCATTCAGGCATTAAAGTTAAATTACTAGGCATCGAGTTTCTTGCAAGGGGACCATTGTTGACTCTCCATGGCATGAAAGGCAGATAGATGTGAGGATGTAACATCCAGAAATTAGCTTTAACAGAGTTCTAATCTGCAGGCATGGATGCTGAGGACCACTGTGTGTGCGATGCATGCAGTAGGTAATATCTGAAGTCAACAGCAATGTTAACAGCTCTCTCGAGCAGTAGCTTCATCTGCAGATCTACAAAGGAGGTAGAGAGGAAGAAGCCTTTCTGACACAGGCTCTGCAAGAGAACCAAATTATGTTTAGGGCCCTGGACTTCAAATATCATTGCTTTTATCCTCATCATGCAGACAGCTTTAGGAAGATGTCGGATGTAGCTGGTTTGCTGGCCAGTGGTAACCATATTGCATACAGGAATAGGAGAGCAGCCACACGCTGCTTACACTCAGGGAAGTTAGGAGTGTACAGCAGTTACAAAAGACAGTCTCTTCCTTCTGAAATTTACTGTCTCAGTTACCTTCAATATTTACGTACATGCCTGTGTTTGGTATTTGAGTAACAGAAATAACCCTCCTCTGGTTCTTCACGCCTTTTAATGTTATGTCATATAAGAGGACTGGGCTAAATTAAGGCATGTGGACAAAGGGCAATTGGAGGCAATTGTACTCCCCGGCATCCTGCAGTTCTTGTCCGCAGTCCTCATGGTAAGGCAGCGTTATTCATTATGGTTACTTGCTGCTTCTGTAATAAAACAATGAACAGATTCATTAAACAAATTAGGTACCATCATTATTGTTTCTGGCAAGAAGATTTTTGAGCTTTGTGCAAAAGCAAGTAAGAAGTAGAAAAGAAGCCATTCCTGTTAGGATATGACTCTCTCTGGAATCAATCTATGATGAAAACAAGGATTTATGGTATAATTGCCACCATTCTCTTTGTACCTTGCAGTGAGCCATCTCTATGGATTCGGACTGATGGATGCTGAAGCAATGGTGATAGAAGCAGAAAAGTGGACAACAGTCCCTCCACAGCACGTGTGTGTGGAGAACACGGATCGGCAAATCAAGTAATACCCGCTGCCAAAAACTCTTGCTGGCATAAACTTACGGAAAGAAATTGGGTATAATTTACCCCTCCCTTGCATTGTGTATAATGTGTCATTTTGAAAGCTATATTTGGGATCTCTGTCACCTTCACAAATGTCAGGTCATCTGCCTGTAAAGGTTGTTCCCTGTAGTGCTTGGAAAAAGGCCTTAGTTTAAAGAATGCCCCAGAAGTTGAAGGTGTAAAACAAGCCAGGATGGCTAGTGATTGATTCTGGTATAGATGATGCACTGATGAAGAAGAGCATTTGGCTGAGTGCACTGCAGTCACCTTTGTAAGATCAGTACAGACTTATCAGTCCAGAATCTAACAAGCAAATACTCTTTTAATTAAAATATTGCATGATATTATCTCTCTCAGTCTCAGGAGACTATCTAGCTCAGAGGGCAAGACTAAACTGCTTTCCACTTGCTAGGATAGGGTCTCTATAGAGCCAGGCTTAAGAGCAGAATTCTGCATGAGCACCCTGTGGATACAGAGACAGCATCAGTCATAAGGCATGCTTCCAAAGCACTAAGATTATTGCTTGATAAATACATTTGACAGGCTCAAGCCGTAACTGGTGTAGTCTGCAAGGATGTTGTGCCAATTTAAACCAGCTGAGTCAGATGCCATTTGGTACAGTTAACATGTAATACTTGCTACTACGTAAGCAAGGACTATGGCTATGCCAGGCATTTCCTGGGGCTTATGACCAGCTGTGATCCCATGACAATCCCAATAATTCTCAGCTGGCCACTAATCCACAAAAATGTTCTGTCCCAAAGGCTTATTCCTATTACAGGTTTTCCACTCTCTTCTTTTAGGATGTCTACATCCTTAACAGAAAACCAGGTAGTTGCCGTTAGCTGCAGTAAAATAATTACCCTGTGGTGATAGTTTCAGCTAGGAAGTTAAGTGTTAAAATGAGGGGTTATAGGCTATTGACTTCTCACAAGCAATTGTCCAACACTTCATTCACTACTAAGCAAAAAAGATGTGCTTGTCTTATTTTACAGAACAAGCACGAAATGCTAATTTTGTTTTATATGCTTATATTATAGAACCATTCGACCTGACAGCGTTGTCCGTTCGATTTACAAAGCCACTGGCTGTTCAGATAATCCTAACCACCATGTGATCTACTTGGAGCATGTCGTTGTGCGCATCACTATTACTCACCCTCGACGTGGAGACTTGGCAATTTACCTAACCTCTCCTTCTGGAACTAGGTCACAGCTCTTGGCCAACAGGTATAGTATGACAACGCAACTTCACAGGCCATTCAGCATGCAGAGCCTGTACCAAGATTGCAGCATCAGCAAAGAACAGTCAAGTCGTTACAGTAGGTTTGCTGGCAGACACAGCCTAATTACTGTTTCTGAGAGATGGGGAGAGTGAAGTCCAAATGAACTCAAAGATGGCAATCTCTGTCTTTATCAGTAGAAGAGTAGGCTGTAAAGCTGTTGAAGGACATCATCTCCAAAACAAGTTATTAGTCAATTTCAATAGTCTTGTGTGGCTCACCAATTATTAGATGGCTGGAAAATGCAAAGAAAATGGTAGCAGTAACAGACTCAGTGTTACAGAAGGAAGCTGAATGGAAGTGTGTTTCTACATACGATTGGCACTTGTTTTTCATTTTCCTCCTTTCTTATCCTATGTTCTCTGGTAACAAAAATCAGACAGAATAGTAATTCTCTCCTACCATTTTCTTTAACCTTTGTGAATATGGTTATGAATCCTGATGCTACCCATTTCCATATCCTTTTTTTCCCTTTGCATATTGAAGTAGTATGCTCAATCCCTGAAAAGCTCCTCGTAGGACAATGCTGAGAAGTTGAACCTGTACTTTGAAAATAGCCTATTAAAATTTTTAAGTCAGACATATCCTTCATCCCACAGATCTGTGACAGATACTTGCTTTTGAATGTCCAGCCACTCTAACATCAGCCACTAAGAAAGATCAGTTCTTTGTCTCATCCTGTCACCTCTGTGTTATGTTCTTGGATAAACTGTGACACTGCATCAAATTGTCTCTTTTTCTCCAGAGTGGGCTCAAACAAGTATCTCTTTATCCAATCCAGTATTTCCAACATTAGTGCAATTTCAGTCTCTGGAGATGAGGTGCATCTCAGTATTTGTACTCAGCAAGTTGAAAGACTTCCCAGTGATATTTCTATTTCTCTGTTCTACTAGCAGAAATTTTCTTGAAAGAAAACACTGGTAGTCCTTCCCACGTAAATATTGCTAAATCAGTGATCAAGAGCACTGCCTCCAACCAGAGATGGTTAAATCACTAAGAAGCCCCAGAAACTTTCTCAAACTCTACCCCATTTCCAGATTTGTGAGTAAGCTACAGTTGCAATAAGAAATGCTTCTATACTTCTCCAGCTAGCTAGAAAATCTTCCTGCTGGGACCATAGTATGATAGGGAAAATTTTTTCCTTGGTGACTAACAGATTTAGATGACTGCCATTCTGCTGGACAAAGACCATGGCTCCCATACAAAAGTTGATCTTAGCTGATGTTTTATATCTCAGAAATAGCAAAAGCTGCCATGTGACAAACCTATGTTGTGAGAACTCTTCTGCTGTCCCACTCAAGTCTTCACAAAAGTTTATATCCCCAGTCCTACTCTTGAGGGCTTTTAATGAATTGAGAGTGGCCTGGATTCCAGGCTGCTTTGTCATCCACATTACCCCAGACAGATCTGGTGATACAGTGACTGTCTAGCCCTGGAGACTTGAGTGTCTTCCTGTCCCTCAGTGGTAAAACAACTTATTTTCTCTCTTGAAAGGAAGGGCCTGTTTTAGAGACAGGTGGAGCTCAGATGGACTTGGTTCTGATTGATGTGTGATCGCACATTTTCATTAGTGAGTTATGAATTAGAATTATGAAAAATCTTTCATAATTTAAAATAAAAGGTATACTGTGAATACCCTTCAAGCGGTAGACATTAATTCATTAAATGGAGAGTCCTGGAATTTTGGGGCCCTCTAGAATATCTCCTGTGTTTCATTACTAGTGTTGTCAGTATGTTGCTGATAGAGCACACGGGCATTCACATCTATGTATCTCCCTGCTACACTGAACAAAGAATTTGTCCCCTGCTAACCAGAGGCAGACTTATACGCTGTAAGCAGTTATGAAACAAGCTTTTGTTTTTCTGTTTGAAGAAATTCTTCTTTAGTTTTCTATTCTGTTTTCTATGCAGCAGTTCTTCCATGCTTCAAAGTGAAAAAAAATTAGAAGTCCTCCAACTAGGTATCCAAACAAAACAATCTTGTGTAAACCCAGTGGTCTTAACACAGCTAACTTTTGGCTCTAGGCTTTCATGTCTTGCAGCTGACTCACAGCAAGTGGGAGATAAAGACATTCCAGTATTCACAGTTCACCTCTGGTGATGACTGGTATGTGGAATAGGTACAAAGTTTAATTCAATCAGTCTCTTTGTAACCCCTGCACTGTAGAAAGCACTTATTTTCTGTACCTGTGGTAGAGAGAAAGCAAATGTATGTATTAAAATCATGTGATGTTCAGCTGTTTCTTATCTTATACTATCAGAAGGCTAACCAGAAAACAAAGAAACCTGAAAGGCCTTTTAATGTTTTGCCACTTTCTAAAAAACAAATTATTCATGACAGAGTGAATACTCATACAGTTGCACCAGAAATTCCCTTCCCATGCAAGCTTCAGAGATATACAGACTTGTCAGTCACATTTGGCTGAAACAAACAACTCTGGGCTACTAATATTAAGGAATAAATGTATTTTGCAAACTCTAGGTCTGAAATACCTAGTGTCTTCACAAGCCCTTTCTTAGGGTAAAGTGATGGATATGGGCATGGTACTTTTCAAAATAGTATTTCAAGGCTCGTTTTATTTGTCCCTGCTGGAAGAAGTCTTACAGTTCAGTGGTCTTGCAGTTAGTATACTGAGTGTTGTTGGGTGTATGTGTTTTAGCATCATGTTATAAAATAAAACTTGGAGTAGGAGTGTAGGTGTGTTGTTATTCACTAGTATGAGAATTAGTTATGAGGCATTTGATTTTTCAAGTACTATTGGTGAGGGCCTCAGAATAAATGCATTCAAGTACAAGTAGCATGCAGGGATGCATTGGCAGCAAGCAGTCTGGGTTTTTTTTTTTTCTATAGGCAAAGGTCCCAGGGCCTGTTGTACATTGCTACTACCTGACTGAGACGCTTTTCTCAGACATACAAGACCTTTTAATGCACATGTACATGATTAATAGCAGCAATACCAGCTGTTTTTACTGAACCCAGGGAAAACCTCATTGCTTTACCATTACTCATCTGGGTTTAATTTGAAACAGTTTGCTGGTAGAATGTCTTAAAGTGCAAAAGGTATATTTTACACATGTGCAGTTCTTCTCCACCAATTCTGGAAGAAGAGCCATTGTGTAGTTTCTGGTGCATTGACGAGTAGGTCCCTCAAGGCAATATCTGGCTTTTTTTCTGCATATTTTATCCTTAATGTTGGCATCTCCTAAAATGACTTCAGTAAGAAAACTTGTTAGTCAGAGGCGATGTGGATTCCTTTGCAGGCATTTGGTGGATTACAGTGTCACTGGCTTGAGCTTCATGTGCATTCTTCAAAAACTGCATTACAGGGAACATCTGCTTTGTTGTTTGGAAAGTACTAAACATGATTACATTGGATGTACTGCAGCAGAGGAAAAGACAGGCTTGGAAAGTGCTGGCTGGTGCGAGGATGAGGCTACAGTTAAGTCCAAAGGGGAACAGTATCCCCTTTTTAAAAACAATTGGCCATTGGATTTGGCAGCATGGGTTTCTGAGTGTTTTTGAGATGTACCAAGGTCAGTTCTAACAGACACTCAGGACAGGGGGGCTATGGAGGGGAAGCTAAATACAAAGAGGATAGAAGAAGCAAACTTAGGGCTCGTTTGTCTCCTACTGAAGTCATGGCTTGTTTAATTCTTGCCCTTTAAATTTAAAGCAGCTGCTGCCATTTGAACTGCGTAACTGAAATTTTTTAGCCACGTGGTGGCAAGTTTCCAGGCCACTAGCTTCCTATGCTTATATGGCACTGACATTAATAATACCTCTGTTCAGTAACAAAGGGAAGTATTTTCACGACCATCTTTTTCCTATCATGAAACCTTAGATAATCAGTAAATTTTAATAATACCCTCCTCTGCAGGAAACTCTTAGATCAAAAACAAGGTATTCTCATCTAATCTTATTTGCTAGTTTGCTTCATAAAAAGTCTTGGGGGTCAGAAGTAGGGGAAACCTTTTCTTTATAGGAGCGCATTTTGATTTCTGGACCAGTTCATCTTTCAGATTTATTACAGTTTTCACATTATGATCTAATAACAAAAACAATATTTTATGTATCCAAATATGATGAAAAGGATAGGGCCAAACTTCATGCTGAGTCTCACTGTTACAGTAACTGAAAAGGACTCTGTGGTGGTATTATTAAGTCCAGGATGAGCGAACAATAATCCTCTGCTTGTACTATGTCTTCAGGATGAAGTAGTTCTCAGAAAACTATTTCTCCCAACTCGTACTTACTATGTTTTATTCATTCAGGTTATCTATATCTTTTTTTCTTTTTTTTCTTGGGGGAGGGGGGAAGGGGGTGAATAGACATCCCACAACCCTTCTACCACCCACTCTTTGAACTGCAATTGCAATGTCAATATCTCTAAAAAACGGTTGTGTGGAGTTTTTTTATACCCTGGCAGTATTAGCAGTAGATAATGTGGGAAATGCTGAGGATACTACAGACACAGTATCAATTAAAAAAAAAAGGAAAATTTTTTCCTTTATCAAAGAGGGAAAAAAATACTGTTAATTTGCCCAGCTCTGCAGAAAATACTAACAGGGTTTATGTGCAAAAGAGTAAATATATGCATGTAAGTGACACTATCCGCCATGTAATTCTAAAATGATCCTGGGACTTGTTCAAATTAAAATGTGGAAGAAGAATGAAGAGCTATATATCTGAAATTTAGAGTTACACATGCCTTTATTTGATGGCTAAGACTAGTAAAGAATTAATCAGGGACCTGCAGAGTAGGCATGTATTGCTTTTAGAATTCAATATCTCAGTTTTAGTGGAAAATTAGAACCCATCATTACTGGATGCAGGGGGAAACATAGTGACACAGGATGAGTAAAAGGCTGATGTACTTAATGCCTTCTTTGCCTCAGTCATTCATGGTAAGACCAGTTCTCAGGTTACCCAGCCCCCTGAGCTGGAAG